TAACTTCTATGATAAATTAACTTTTTCTTTTTTTCTCATTAATTTTATTATTTTAGTTTTTGTACAGTTCCTCTAATTCACACCGAAGTAGGAACTCTATCTATAGTTATTTTCAAATTAAAAAATTATTGTAGATCAACTATTTTTTTTTTATTACACTATTTTTAACATGCTATCTATTATTATGTGAAATTTATATCGCAATTTACTCGGCTAACTAAGTTAAAGCTCATTGCTGATAAATCAAACTAATTAAATAGAGTCAGACTTTTATCATTTAAAAAATCATAACTATAACAATTTTTCTTAAATAGTATATTGCAAATTAAGAGTGCTTTACTAGCATTTTTCATTATATTCCATCTCAATTTTCTTTTAAAATACTGTTATAGAGACTCACTATAAAAAAATATAAATTACCGACGGATAATTTTTTACGGATACAAATCCGTAAAAAAATCTATATTTCTGACAGATTTTGCTTGCCGAATTAATTATTCAATCACAAATTATTATATATAATAAATTTGTTGACTTTAATAATTATTATTATATCATATTAAAACTTTTTTTTTGTTAAAATCTTTTATAGGATAATACATATTCATTAAACTCACAACTAAAATAGATAACTGGTAGTGCAAGTCATGGAGTATAGTCTCTTGCGAGAAAGTTAATTCCTACACATGCACAACAAAAAATTATACACTTACTTGTATAATAAAATAAAAGTGAGAAATTTAATTGTGCTCCATTTAAAAGATTTTCTAGGGAAACTTCAGAATTTCAATTACTAGAAGATACAAGAATTGCTAATTTGATATTTTGATTTTTCCCATTTTCATTCAGACTTGGCAACAAAGCCTTTAGGTTCAGGCCCCTGGATGATGGAAGACTACCTTTTCGGGCCTATCTTTACAGTCTTTTTGCTTCGTTCTTCTTAGATTGGGCTTTGTTATTAGCGGCTCTAGCTCGTGATTTTCTTTTTCTTTTTTTTTTTAAAAAAAAAAAGAATTGTAATTATAACTCTTGGACCAAAACCAAAACGCAGAGTTTTTCCTAATACAATTGCATCGTTGATCAAGCATGAGATATTATAACATGTATGTCAGCTGTATATACACTCGTAGTCATTATTCAAATAGCGGCTAATGATAAACCATAGATTGTCAAGAAACAATCTTCGTGTCAGAACCTAATGCAACTGATGCTCATCGTGGACTCTGAATAGGTGTATCGCAAATGTTTTTTAGTTTGCATGATCTATAACCTTACCTTGAAGTCAGCTTTTCTCATAGGCGTCTGTTGATTTCATAGTGAAGTTAGCTTTAACTTTTGTCACTTCAAAGAAACAAACAAGTCGTACACGAAGCTGACATATACTTGAACCATACCAGGTTAAATAGGACAGAGCATATAGATGATATCACCACTACAAAATTTATATCATACTTGACGTTAAAATATGCATGAGATGATAAGTATAAACATTCCGGAAAAGCACAATTATTTCCGGGGTAAAGTTGATGTTTAAATTACTTGGCACAAACTTACAATTCATGATACACTAAGGTCGGCACTCACAAAAATCAGCACATTTAGAAAACGTCACACTGTTCAGTATTTCTTTCCGTTACAATGATATACATGTATTAATTATCGAAGTTGTCACGTCCACAACAATGAACATATTTTCTCCTTTGGCCTTTTAAAAAGTTTTTTCCCTTATTAACATTTCGTCGATTCTGAGCACTATGAAGATTTATTTACCTTCCAGCTTCAATGATCCAAAACTACTCTGTGCTAGTGCAGCAGCAGCACGGGCCGCTGCAGATGCACGATCTGCAGATGCAATGGCTGCCCGTGCCTTCTCCAGTACATCAGAGGATTGAAAACTAGTCTCACTTTTAGCATCTCCAGTGGGACCATCATTATTTTTGTGTGACTGTTCGATTTCATTAGTATTCAACCAAGAATTATTGTTAGAAGGACTGGGAGCTTCAAGGTGTTTATATTCTTGGTTATCATGCACAGACTTGATAGAAGTTTCCGTAATACAAGGTGATGAATTATTAGAACCATTTCTGCTGGGAGTGTGAGAAAGCGTAGCTCCAGCACTAACTTGCTTTGCTCCACCCTACAGGTAACATAAAAAAATCATAATAAAAATAAGGAAAAAATTGAGCAAATTCCTGAAACCACGGTAGAGAAGTAAACATAGTATAATGGGTTCAAAAATCTGGGAATATTAAATTCATAACCAGTTGAAATGTATGAAGTATAACACATAGGTAGGTAAGTTCAGGATTTAGATTGCCCTTGTCAAGAAACAAGCTTCTCAATGTCAAATTCTGAGATAGGATAAACGGGTATATTTAACTCAAATATATCAAAGGAGCTTTAACACACTGTAAACCTGTATTTATGGAATATGAAATGAAAAGAGACACACTAATATGCTTGAAAATTTGATGAGAAACGGATAAAGTCAATTTCTCCGCATTTATGGAATATGTCACATAAACCTGCCTGAGTTGTTCTTTGTTGCAAATCTTTACATAGTCCCAATCCCAGACAAAAGTTGAATGTTGTGTTAGGCTATGTCGAATATCTGTGACATTTGAGACAAAAATATGTATGACATTTACAGAAGATATGTGCGGAGATTTAAGACAAATACGCTCAACAGCTAGTCACTTCTCAATGCTCATGGTAGTACTATCATATGAAGAGCCCATACTGTAAGGATAGGATGAAATTTGCTGTAATTTTTGGGGTCTGTGACAGGGATAAGGGTGGTAGTAGACCATTATAATTAGACAAGTGAGAACATTTTATACAGAAGATATCTACCACCAATAGATGAGATGCATGATATCACATGGATATAGTAGCATAATATTTTTAATGTCCGACATCAAAGTAAAAAATATACATCCACTGATAACATTACCAGGAGATCTTCGTGCGTTTTCCTAAATTCAGCCTCAGTTTTAGAAGAATCCCATGTTACATTGTATTCTTCTACAATCTCCCTCAAGACCTTGAGTTTTACCTCTCCAGATGGAGCACTAACTGAAAGCTTTTCAATGATCTGAAATAATCATATCAAAAGAACAGATGGACAAATGATAGTAAGCAATTGCTCAGAAGCTGTAATTGTTTGCAATTCATACGCTGCAATTAAAGATAAATCACCGTGCGGTTCACGCCTGAATCAGGACGAAGTTCAGATGCTGCAGAAACAAATTCTTTCCCATATTTAGTGGTAAACAAATTCTTGATGTGCAATAAGTCTGGTACATCTGAACATCTAGGAGCAGCAAAAATAATACTTGCAATAGCTTCTCGCAATTCCGAGGGACACTCCCTATAATAATGAGAAGGAAGGCTTCAAGTTTGACCAAAAAAATAGTTTGCTGTAAATTGTATAAGAAAATGTGCAACTATTTGAAAACTCAATTCAGTGATGAACATGAATTTTCTCAACACTAAAAGTGATTTTGTGCGGTGGGGTGTATAAAAATACATACCACATTGAAATAAGCAAAAGAGAAATAAAAATATTCAATGCATGAAAGATCAATGGATGCTTTTAGCAGCAATTACTTATTTAGTTGCTAATAGTTTCCTTTAGTAAACTTGTTCAACAAATATCATTTCAAACATCACATATTCAATGCTGCAGACAGGAGTGTAAAATATTTTAGTATGGTCAGGGTCAATATATAAATATAAATATGTTATACAAGTTTAAGTAAATTACACTATTCCTCCCTAAATTTATGTACAAATCAACTTCGGTGAACCAAGTTTATAACCATCAATTTTACCCCATTTATGTTTAGAAACATGGTCATAAAATCGCAATTCAAATTGTGAATCGATAATTTTTAAATCATCATTCATTAATTGTATAAGTGAGGAGAGTAGATTCACAAAGGTCACTGGATGCAGTAAGGAGAATAGATTGTTACTTTTAATCCTGTGAAAAGAGGCAGAGAGAGACCAAGAAAAATATTGGAGGAAGTTGTTAAGAGAGATCTGACAGTGAATAATAACTCATACAATTTGATATAAACAACTAAAATGATGTCATGTGATGTATGTAGTCGACCTTACTTAGTGAGATAAGGGTTTTGCTATTGTTTGTTTGTTTGATTCATAAATGGTAATAAATTGTAAAATTTAGAGACATAACAAAAAATAGCTTGAAACATATCATATAAAAGATGTATAGTATATTAGTATTCAAATTTCAATATAATAATTTAAAACTAGAAAATGACCAAAAGCCTCACAAAACAAAATCATGAGTAATAACTGGGTGTTTTAAGCCTATATTAACACAAAACAGAGCAATGGTACAACCAAATATAATAGACAGAATGAATGATTGACAAATGTGGAACCCCCATTTTAGAAGAATGAAACTAGAACATCAGAATAATAAAATAGGATGTGATTAGTAGAACTACTTTTGTACCATTTCTTTTCACAATTTAAGCTTATTAACTTTTTCATTTTTTTTTACAATTGGTGAAATAAAATAAAAAATAAAAAAAATTGCAGAATTCTGTGGTTCAACACTAGATGCAAATCATTGGCTAGCCAAATTGTGTGATTTGCAACGCAATTGATAAGATTCTAATAACTGCTCCCTCTGGACTCAATTATAAGAAAATAAACATCTCATAAACAGTGAACCAAAATATTAGCAAATTTTACTACATTAATTACTACCATTACCATCTCCAAAAATACTCTTAATTTAGTTGAGATTCTATTTTCAATAACCCCTATTTATTCTTGATATCAAGTTCCAATAAAGGATAATTCGGAAAGAAAAAAAATTCAATGAGATTCGTAAAATTAAATGATGTTAACTGACTTAATTAGTGCATAAGTTAGTTAATTTTGCTTATATATAAGTCCAGAAGAGTATGTTCAGAAAGATATATTTAACACCCCGTCCCTTTTGAATCCCCTTGAAGATTCAGAAAGGCTGCAATTATAAAATAAGTTAGTTCAACTGACAAGAGGTCAATTTAATGTATTTGTGATTGTTATCTTAATAAGAAAAAAAACTGCCAATAATGTTTACAACCTTCCCCTATATTCTACTTTGAAGTGTATTGAAAAAAGCATAGTCACTATTAAAATTTAGTGAAGCAGGAAGATCCAGAAATTAATCAATCTGTTTCACATTATAGCAAAATAGCATTAAAAACTCTATAACACTACCACAATCAAAATGTAACAGAAATTTGTGGATAAAAGAAAAACACAATCTGATTTTCACAAGTACTGCACTTCAAGCACATTAATCATTGAGATAATACACAGTATGCAATAAGTACAAATTCTAATGATTGTGGACTTACTTCTGGTTCTCAATTATAGGTACACGAGCAAGAATAAATTCACAGAATAACTCCAATATTTCATAAGCAGCCCATGTATTTTGTTCTCGTATGATATGCTCCACCTATGTAAATCAATGCATTTTACAAGCAGCAAGTCAAAACACAGTAAAAAAATATCCAGAAACTAGCAGCCATTAGCCAAGAGTTGAAGGATTACCCTAATTCTGGAAATTGCCTCTTGGCCGGCCTGCAAGAATTGGCTTATCTCCTTGCACATTTGTTTCAGTTGCATATCTCTCTTGTTTTGTAGCAGCTTAATGCGTGAAATTGCTAGGTTCAGGCATGTTTTGCTACAAGATGGAAAATAACGAAAAGCAGAATGTTTACTAGTAATACTGACACTAGGCATTATTAAAAAGGTAATCGAGAGAACAATCTGCAGAACATTCATTCAAAACCGAAGCGTAAAACAACCTTTTCACTAATCACATCTGCAAAGGATCCCTGATCATTCATCAAAATAGCTCACTTCCCAAAAAACCCAAAATCTGGCTTTACGTATAGGATATACCTCAAATGTACTTACATGTTTCCAAAAACCTAAGGACTCGAAATTGGAATTGAATTTGACACAATAAGCACTTGAATTATTATTTGAGCAAGCGTATGATAAGAAAAAATGATCGAGAAACCTAAAATCCGGTAATACAGAAACGCAATGCACATACCCTAAAAACCTAAAATCGGGTATTGTTATGACTTATAAGAATGAGAAAACTTAAATCTCTGAAGCAGAAAAGGGAAATGAAATCACCATCGAGTGCCGAAAACGCCTCTGTTAAAGAGCTGGTTAAGAAGTGACATGGTGTTTATGTTTAGATGCCACTCAACTATACGTAGCAAACAAAAATATCTCTGCTTCCTTCGTTGCCCTTCCTAGTTCTTATATATAATCCAATTCCATCCTATTATTTATTTCTCACAATTATTTATTATTACTTACCTGCCGCTATTATTTGACTCTGGGGGCGATTAATATACACTCAATAAAGAAAATAGTACAAAAATTATTAGACAATTTTTTAATATTTCGTGTTATTTTTAAATTTAGGGAGGTGTATTGGATTAGGATTTTAAAGGACTTTTTTAGTTCAAAAATATATTGAGAATTTTAAAAGACTTTGAAGCATTTTAATGAATTTTAAGATTTTGTAAGATTCTACAAAACTTAAAATCAGGATTTTAATGGATTCTGCAAGACTTTTAAATCAAGATTTTATGTAGAATTTTATAGAATTTTTGTGGATTTTTGACATTTGATAAGATTTAAAAAAAAACTTCATACATTCAAATTTAAAAAATAGTCAAAGACAAAAATAATAAAAAACAACAATGTCTAGATAAATAATAATATTTAATAATTCTCCATAATATTCTATCCTCTTAAATAATATTCACCCACGTATTTATAGCTATACTAGTCCTCTAAGTATTAGCGTCTTCTCGCTTTTGCTACTGGGTTTGAATAATAAGTTCAAAAGTATGGTCTTCATTAACTGATAATGTTGAAGATGAAGGTTCATCCACTGCTTCAATTAAAAATTCATCAGAACGACATTCTTTACGTAGAAAGTTATGTAGTGCTGCTGCACATACTAACACAAGTTATACTTGTGTTTTAAATAAAAATGGAGGTACTGACTTAAAAATTGTGAACCTTAATTTAAAAATACCAAATATGATCTCGATCACATTCCTTAAAGACCCATGACGAAAATTGAACAATTTTTTCTCATTTTCAGGGTCATTACCCTCACTTGCAAAAACTTGTAGATGATATTTTAACAATATTTCCTTTTTAAAAAAAATAAGTTAATGAAGGCATAAACCCTAAACCCTAAAAAATTAAATACTGCAATGTCTTATGTTAGTTTTCTTTTTAAATATAAAAAAATTCTAATTTCACAATATAAAAATAAAAAGAAAAATTCATAGTAAAAAAAATAAAATAATTGTTGAGTCATAAAAGGAGGAGGGATAAGAATAATAAACTCAAGAGAAGGAGAGAGATTGCAGTTTTTATGCTGAGAGGGTTTATCTCCTAACTAAGATCCATTTTCATCTCATTCTATTCACAGAAATTCTAACTCAAATTCATCTTATATATATATATATATATATTTTGTAAAAAAAATATATATATATATATATATATATAGTAGAGATCATGATACCAATTTCATCTTTCACCTTTTCCTTTTCTTGACGTGTGTTATAAAAGAATTATCTCTTAAAAGTTAAAATTTCAAGCATTTTTTTTATGTCATATAAAGGAACAAATTCAACTAAATAGAATAAAATAGAGCAAGTCCATTAAAGAGAACGAACAAAAAAATAAAGTAAGTCAATGATACTATCATTTACATATCGGAGTTTCACAAAGTAGGAGAATGGAATGAGAACAGTACTACAGTATTATATATGAGCAATGAACAATATTGCAGTATTATTAGCAGAGAAAAAATGGAGAAGAGAGAAGCACAGAAAAAAAGATGAAAAACTCACTTGAAAGTTCTTGAAGCACTTGAAAAATCACTTTAAACAATCCTTCAAAATTCGATGGGTTTGGATGAGATTGTTTTATGAATTTGGTATTTATAGATAGCACTAGAAAGTCTTTCAAAATCTCTCTCATACAACAATCCTTTAAAATCTTTATATTTTTTTAATACCAATGGATTATTTTTAAGTTGTAAAAAATCTCAAATGAATACCTATGGATTTTAATGGACTCTTTAAAAAATCTTGAAAATTCATATTGAATATCATTGGATTATTTTTAAGTGACATAAAATCCTAATTGAATATTAATGAACTTTTTTACTCAAAAAAAATCTTTTAAAATCTTACAAAATCCTAAACGAATACACCCCCTTAATGTATTAACTATTGTAACCTTATTATTTGATATTTTGATCTGGGCCGAGCCTGGGGAGCTCATTGAGTGTCCATTTCAAAATTTGTTTTGCAATAGAATATTTCTGCTTCATATGAAAAAAAATTGGAGAAAGGACATACAGATCCATTTCCCATAATTTCTGTCAAACATTTTTTTCTTCTTTAACTTTCAAATAATTAAACACATTTAACAGATAAACTTTCTCTTTGTTGTCAACTGGTTGTTGCAATTGATTCAACTTGAAATTAGAAAGAAAAAAAAAATGTAAGCCTAGTGAAATTACTCAATTACCATGAAAATTCAAATTTCTAATAGCATATACTTATAATTTTATATATAAATTTTTAAGTGAATAGAATTATGAACGAATAATAAAATCCCACATTATTATACCATTAATAATAGTTTCTTATAAAGTTAACCTACTTTTATTATTATTATTTTAATTGTGTAGCCTATTTTATACAAAGATCCAAATTATAAATACGTGTATTTAGCTTCAAAGAAAATAAGCGTATTTTAGATTTTATAATAATTAGTTTACAATCTATAGGAAAAAAAAATACACAAGGGAAACAATACCATTTTATTGAATAATGGAAGTATAAAACTTTATTACTGTTCATTGTGCAGGCCTCGCAAATTCACAACAAAGGGAACCAATGGATTACATCTTATTTGAAAATTCAATGAGCCTCTGCTAAAGTAGAAAGCCAAATTAGATGTACATCTAACTACCATAACAAGAGGCAATAGAGGTGCTGTTGTATAGGTGCCATATATGTGAAGGGTGTTTGTTCATTATAAGATCAAAAATATCATTTAAGGGAGCACCTAAAATCAAGCCATGATATAATGTCATTATGGACAGCGAAAATCCTGTCATCAGGTTCTCCTTCCAAAATACCGTGGTAGCCTCCTTCATAGATCTTTAGTGTCTTATCCTTGCTAGAAGCCTTCTCATAAAGAAATTGGCTCACTAATGGGTCTGTCACCTTATCTTCTGCTCCATGAAGAATCAATAACGGAGCTGAAACCTGCATTATCCTCAACAAGAATAAATGTTTTTGGTTGATATGACAATTATTACATGCAAAAAACCACAATTAACTGTTACATTAGGTTCTCCAAAATAACAAATAACACCAAGTGTGCAAAAGCAAAAAACCTAACCTTATGTAATTGTGACTCGATTTCTTGAGTGGCACTTAAAAGCTCCATGCCAGTTTTCAGTCGTGTTGGATCATCATAAGAAATAACATTGTAACCAGCCTATAAAGGAAAGAATCAACTCCTACAATTAGTTTGTTATAGAGTGCACATTTTAGGGGGCTAGTTTTTCATCCAATTTTTTTAAAGTTTAACAACAAATTCAATGAAAGAACTAGAAGATACTGTGGATTAAATTTAATGACCCCTGAACAAACTTGTCAACACATGTTAACATATATGTGCTGAAAGACTAAAAGAGTGTATTGGTTTAAGATTTTAAAAAAAAATATGAATGTCCACGATGAGAAAGTTTGACCGTACAGATAATATGGATATATTGAAGCATAATAATGATGATTTAAGACCTTTAACATTTGGTAAATGAAAGATGCGTTGTTAAAAATGGCACAATACACAAAGACATTGGTTGATCATTTCACTTTGTAAGCATTGAAGAATTGAGGGTTGACAAAATTACCAACCACTTTTCTCTTGCCAGGTTCTCGGAAAGTCAGCGCAGATAGATCTTTGTGTGGGAACAGTTTTGCCTTTGGCATCACTTTAGACAAAAGATTTAATACATTCAAAACCGTAGTTGACGGTAACATGCCCCCTGCAATCTTAGCACCAAAACAAGAACAAATCAGGCTTTATCTGACACATGTTAATATTACCATGAAAGGCTATTCTTTAAATGATGGATGGTTCCATTTTCCTATACATTGAATCTTGTACACCTTCCAATTTTGACTTCAAAATCTCTTAATACACATTTTAAAGACATGCATTAATTCTAGAAATTCATTGAAAATATAAGATACCCAATATTGAATCCCAGTTATGAAAGTGAAAAAAGTTTATGCACTGACACTGAAAACAGTTTTACATTGTCAATATATTCCTGAGGGCAAAGTTCTAGCTTTTAAAACAATGAAATTGAACCTTAGAGATATCATAGATGTGATAGGAAATAAACAATTCAGTGCTCTCAACCCATAGAATGAACCAGAACTTGAAAATTATAATGATGAATCAACTGGTGACATCAACTGCAATGCAGAGGAATGTGCTTACTTTACACATTGGTGCTACAAGGATAACTCCATCCCAATTATTTGGTTCTTTCAAATGAACCTTAAGAGCAATTGCTCCACCCATTGACTGCCCCAATATAAAACGAGGCAATCCTCTCACTTCAGGCCTTTCTGTCAATTGAATTACAAAGCATGGTCAACAACAACAACACAACATTCTGTATTTTCCCATATGAAATATTACAACAATCATCAATATGATATCCTGGACGTTGAAAGGTCATACCTTTGATTTTTGTATAATGTTCTATAACGTCATCAACCAAATCATCAAAATTTGGTATGTAACCATGTAATCCTTCAGAAAGACCAAAACCTGGATAGTCCATAGCATAAACAACATACCCAGAAGCAGCTATTCGTTTGGCAATACCTGCACAAAAATTCAAATACCCCCCTTATTACATTTGATAAGTTACCAGCTTTGTTAAAAGTTGATAGCACAACATGCTACAAATAGCAACTTAGCTACTTCTTGAGATCCTAGATGGCTAGACTAAAAATTAAGAAGTTTTAAAAAATAACTAAATGAAAACTTGTAATGTTAGAGTGAGCAAAAACATATCTAAGCTGTGAAATTATGACAAACCTTCAAAGAAGAAAGTACAAGTGCTGCCATACCCATGACAGAAACACAAAGCAGCCTTGAGTGGAACGCCAGGTTCAGGCATCCAGCTTTTGTAGAAAATTTCCAGTCCCCTTGAATTCCTTTCATACCCCTAACAAACAAATAACCACCAAATTCACCATATTTTTCACCAAACTAACAAAAGAAAACATGCTCATTAAGAGTTTATGCCAAAAGCAGAAAAAGCTTACTTCCTCGGTTCTGATCCCAGCAGGAGCAGTCTAGTTTTCCAATCAAAGACAAACACAGCAACAGATTGAAACATCAAAATCAGAGAGTGGTTCTTTTACAAGGCCAACATCTGAAAGGTGAAACCGCAGCAACTAAAGCCAAGCAAAGACTACGATGAATATGAATTGAAGAGTGAGAACTAACCTTGAACAAGAAATGGTCGAGCTGCTGCTGCAACTCCGTGAAAGCTTCACGAACCCGTCGTCGCGAAGGTGCGAAGTCGAGATTCTGAGAGGCCAAAGCGTTCAACTCTTGGCTCACACCTTCAATGTTTGACTTTTTCTTCGCTGTTGCCACCGTCAGAGTAGTGTTTGAACTGAATTTTTGTGAAGTGGGTATGAGAAGATTGAGAGGGCGTTCTGTGGGTATACATGGAAAAGGGGAGAGGTTGTGTGATCGGAATCTGAGTGTCGCAGATAACTCCATCATCGTTTCGCTTAGTGCCTTAGTGGGGTGTGGCAATAAGGCAAACTTGTTTTTAACCATGTTCAGCGTTGACTACCCAATTACCCAGTTACAAGTAGCATAAAAATAAAAAATACAATGTAACTAAATAATTTGAAAATATAAAAAAAATATGAGTAGTAAGCAACTCAGAGATAAGTTTTCAAATTATTTAAATATATTTTTAATTGTATTTAAATTAATTCTATCAAATTTTAAGCCAATTAGATACTTCACCCTATTCTATGTTTTCAGCACACGATTTGGCTTCTTTTTTTTTTTTTTATCAGCGAACATGGTCGGTAGTTTGAAGTTCTAACAAAAACCAGAAACCTATGTACATGTTTATTGCATTGAGAAATGGTGTGGGTGGATGATCCGCCTACAGGTGATGTTACATTATTTATATTCAAAAGTTGGACGAAATTGACCGAATCATCCTTTTGGTATAGTAGCATTTGTGTGTGAAGGAAAAAACTAAAAATTAAAAATTAAAAATTAAAAAAAAATCATGAAAAATCATGGATCGATCCTAGCCAGTAAAGTCGAGGGTTACATGGAAAATGTGTTGAGAAATGGAAAAGTTCATCATATATACACCTTTTTTTCTATAAGTACACCTCCTTTTAAAAAAAATAATTAAAATTTTAAAATATTTTTAATTTTTTCTTTTAAATTTTTTAATTTTACATCCATAATATTTGATTTAGTACTTTTCTTTTACATATTTTTCCTCATTTTTTTAATTTTTACATGCACCCCCTTATTTTTCCTTCACCTCACCTATTTTGGTAACATGTAAAAATTGAAAGAGAAAAAAAAAAGTGTGTGAATAAAAAGAAGAAAGTAGCAAATTAAAAGTTGAAAGTGTAAAATTAAATTTTTTAAAAAAAATTATAATTTTTTTTTAAAAAAGGAGGTATACTTATAAAAAAAAAAAGGAGATGTATATATCATGAGCCAATGGAAATGGTAAGACTATGTTTTCCTAAGTCCATAATTTCAGCCATGTAGACAATTTTGGTTTGGCTCATGATATATACACCTCCTTTTATTATAAGTACACCTCCTTAATTTTTTTTTAAATATAAAATATTTTTTTTTTTACTTTCTAATTTTACACTTCCAACTTTCAATTTTCTTCTTTCTTCTTCTTTTTTACACACTTTTTTTTTCTCTTTTAATTTTTAATACTACTAAAATAGGTGAATGAAAGAAGGGCAAGGGATGCATATAAAAATTAAAAAAAAATAAAATGAATGAAAAAAAAGTACGAAATTAAATGTTGTGGATGTAAAATTAAAATTAAAAATTAAAAATTAATTAAAAAATTTAAAAAAAATTTAAAAAAAGGCATTGTACTTATAAAAAAAAGGAGGTGTATATATCATAAACCTTTTGGTTTTGCATTACTTGAGCCTTATGTTATATGGCCTCCAAATGGTAAAAAGGATTGGACCTAAGCCCATAGTTTCAGCCTGGATTGGTCTCAAACTTTCTGGATCAAAAAATCCCTTCCCTCAAAATCACCATTATTTGAGCTATTGGTGTTATGTTTCACTTCAATTATATTTTTAATATTTTAACCGAAGTGATAGTTATTGAGAAATAATTTAAGACTTTTTTCTGATGACTCCAAAAACATTCAAGAATTTTGTTGCAATACGCTTTCAAAAAAAAAAAAAAAAAACCTACGAGTTTAAAAGATTAATTTACTCCCAGTTGTGGTTCCAAAGTTTACAAAATTGTTTTCCTCACACACTTTTTATCGTTTAAAAAAAAAATACGAGAAAAGCGTAGAGAAATAAAATATAAAAAAATACTATTACATAACCGTAACCCTACTAGTTTACCGGTGGATGAAGTATATTAATGTGGAAGGTTTGGTAACAAAAAAATAATTACATAACCATGCCAATTTAAATGTATTTATGTTTCAGTTTGGATTAAATTTTAAAACTAAAAAAAATAATAAATTTTCTTATTTTTATAAAATAATTTTCATAAAATATTCATTTTTTACAATTAATATATACTAATTGTGAATATAAAAATTTATTTAAAAGTCAAAATAAGAGTATAATTGACAAAAAAAAATAATGTTATTCTGAACTTTAAAAATGACAAATTAAAAAATTAAAAAAAAAACTGACAATTCATAAGAAAGAGAGCGTATACTGATTCTAACTCATTTTCTATTAGCAATTAAAAAATCATTGAAAACAAAAAAAAAAAAATATTACTACTTTAAACTGAGAAGTTTATTTCAACTAGCAACACATTACTATTACAACAATATAAATAATTTTAAATAAAATAAAATAAACTTATTAATACGTTAAAATTATCTTGTACACATTAGTTAAGAAAATATATTTTAAATAAATTAATCTAAAAAGAACTTTTATAAATAAATTTATGTATAAATTAGTTTTAATTTTTAGAGAAATTTATTTTATTACTTTACTTTATATTTTTCTACTATAAATACTATATGGATGAACATATCCTCATTTGATCCTTATCATCTCCACTTAATAAGCTACTTTTCCATATGTCGGCTCAACAACACATATCATCGTTCATTTAATTATCATTTTCTCAATAATTAGTTAGATAATATTTTGGTTTTGTGGTGAACATTGGTTAACCAAGTCTTAACCATTGGCTTTAATGTTAGTTATAGGGTCAATGAGGTATATGTCTCTAACGAAAATGAATTCTCTAAATTTTCTTTTCTTTTCATTATATTTTTATTTTTAAAACTCTAGTAGTGAAAAAAATAATAATAATAATAAAAAATCTTAACTTGTCCATAACATTGAAACCCGATTAATATATAATATTATGTTTCAATGAATTGAACCCACAAAAATAATCACATTAATTGACTTTACACTAATACCCTGACCATTAGTAGCATTGAGGAATATATTAAGTGTATGAGTCAACTTATGTTATATGATAGTATTATTAATTATCTTATTTATTTTTATCTATTTAACTTCGTACTTTATACTCATATTATAATTATTCATATTTTATTTTTAATTATATATCCACTTGTTTAAGTACTACTCTATAAATTTTATTTTGTTTGATGTTTCGATAATTAAGGATGAGAATAAGTCAGGTCAAGTTTTGAATATATAAGTTGAACCTATTTTATAAAATTAAAATCTAAGTCTAGTCTATTATATATCATAAATTTTTTTATAAGTCTAATATGACTTTTTAAAGTATGATATGACCTATTAATCTATTTAAATTATTAATGTTAATTAGGTTAATAAATTTTTTTTAAAAATTAACAAATTTATTCTTAAAATACAGTATACTCGATATTATTAAATTTTAAATTTTAAAATAAATATAGAAAAAAATTGAATCATTTTTGTTAAAGGGACAATTCATATGTATGTATATTCATACAGATCGTAAATTTATAAATTTATAATGAAAAAAATAATGGTATAAAAGAAATATTTTAAATTTTAATAATTTATTTATGTTTTATAAATTTATTTATTTATTTATATTTTTAATAATATATATTATTTTTTTATATTATATAAATAAATAGAATGACTTATCACAGACTTTTTCTATAAGTTTAAGTTTGACATTTTTATATAAGTAATTTTTTTAAAAAAACTTAATCTTGACCTTTTTGTTAAATAGATTAGGTCAAATTAAACTTTAAAGAAACTAGGTCATAATTTTTTTTTTAAGACTTGACTTATTCTCATCCTTACCAGCAATAACTATATATTCAATAACTTTATTGTTTGAAAATATTGTTTGAAAATCATTTTATGATAATGTAACATTAAATACTTTTACCCTATTACACTTTAGATTATTATTAATACATTTTTAATTAATAATAAAAATTAGAAAACTTATTAATCTATTTTTATTTTATAAAATTAAATATACTAATTATATTCTTAAATTTCGTGTCAAAATTTTAACGTAAAACATTATTCACTAAAACGGATTAAGTACTGTGTTGGTTAATTTGGATGTATATCCCACGTGCTATTTAATTATCTCGGAGGGAGCAGCTTCGTGTTTTTTTTCTCAAGGGGTCTTATGTACGGTTTGCTCATGTTAGAACGCTGAACTACAGTTCCTCATTCTAGTTATATATCGGAATAAGAGTAGCAAAATTACCCAGCACTATAAAGTGATAAACTTACAACAAAATATATTTCATTACGTGAACATTTTGTATAATGAACATGTAAAAACCTTAATGTCTATTTTTTTTCTTACAATATTAACAGTTCCACAATTTCACATGGTATTTTATGTAAGACCAGCAGTGTTACTTCTACCCCTCTCATTCTTCTCTTGTTGTTCTAAACCCCGTTACTAGGAATATTCAAAAAAACCAAAAGAACTAAACTGAATTTAAAACTAGATCGAACCACTTTAAAAAAATCAGAACCAATTATAATAAAACTGAACCGGATTTAATTTTTAAAATAAAACTAAAAAACAGAACCTATTTTTTTTTAAAGGTTTGGTTCACTAATATATTTGGATTATAGCATTATGCCTCGCTCAGACTCGGAGACGGAACAACACTCTTACACTCTCTCTGTGATTCTGTCTCTCGGACTCGCACTCTCTGTCTCTCGCACTCACTCTGTCTCTCGCACTCGCAGCAATCTCGCTCATTCTTGTGAATCACTCATGCAACTCTGCAACTCTGCTTCAGCAGCTCAACTAGCAGTTTTGTTCCTCTCTCTAGGATTAATTTCCATTGGAGCTGGTTGTGTCAGACCTTGTTCCATAGCCATTGGAGCATATCAACTGGCAATTAAAGACAAATCTAATGATGAGAGGCTCTTGGATAGCTACTTTAATTGGTATTATGCCTAAATTGGAATATCAACCGTGATTTCATTGAGTGTAATTGTGTACATTCAAGTAAATGTGGGATGGAAAATTGGGTTTGGAGTACTTGTTGTGCTAATGTTCATATCAGCTGTCAGTTTCATTCTTAAAACTAATTTAAAACTGGTTTATTTTTTTAAAACCGGTTCAAA